CGAACCGGTCTTTATTCGCTACAGGGTTCATATCTCTCCTTGGGCCGTTTGTCAACTGCTGTGGTTCGAATGTGACCGGAACCCTACAGGGTTACATGTTTGAGTACTTTGTCCCCACTTGGCACTGTCTGGGAAGGTCAGGAAACCTTCGGAGGTGTGGCCACACCGTAGGAAGTGTGTCACTGGCGCTGGATCCTGAAGCCTTATGGCTTTCCGATCACACTCTGCTCCCCGGAGGTGGATGCAGTGTGATCAGCCGGCTGCCTGTTCCCACCACCACCACGAGGATGAAGTGAATCGCTCCGGAGGAGCCGTGAGACCGAACACAGCCTCCCCTTCCTTAAGTAGTTTTCATTATTAGCTTAATGCATCAGAACAATGCCAAGTGACCAAGGCGGCCACCGACCCTGGCACTCGTCACAAGCTCTTGCTGTCACAACGGCGGTATATACACCCCCCTCAGGTAGGAAGGAGGGGGAGAGAGATCCCTTTACACATACAACCGTGCCACCCACTTGTCTGCTGGAAGTTCTCCAGAGGCCTCCACCTCCACCAAGAACAGAATCTGAAAACCGGCAACGCCGTGGAGGCCCCTGCTAGCCTCGCCACCTCATTTCCCCAGATTCTCCTCTAATTTACTCCAAACCAGCCAGCCGCACTGGTTCCTTTGCTTGTCCTTGAACATGAAGTAGAACCACAGGACCTGTTCCCTGGGCTTGATGCAGGCAGAAGCAGTCCCCACAGCCAGGCACCCCACCTCTCACACCCCCTAGATGGCAGTGCAGCCATCACCTGGTGAGAGAGGCCGCGCCCCACGTAAGCTCTCACACATAGAACAGTATACCGCCTTCCATCCTTATCGGTGCCCTTGGCTCTACCTTGCCCTGTCGTGTCTACAGCCACACGATTCACCCCTTGACTGCCTTTTACCCCCCTCCTAGACTAGAAGGGAATTCTCTGTGCTGAGTACATAGCCCTAGAACAAGCTGGCGTAGAACAGTTGCTCAGTAAGCAGCACCCCAAAAACCAGAGGAAGGGAGCTGGGCACATGGCAGAGAATAAATAAGAGGGCAATTGAAGGAAATAGCAAGTAACCTCAGTGATAAAGCACCCCCCCCATACACCCATCTTCACCATGTAAGGGTCATGGCAGAATATTCTGTTATCGTCACACAAAACTGCCCCAGGACTGTTTGAGAGTCGGAATGTCTTGTTTCAAAGCTCAGCAAGTTACAGAAAACATCTTATATGTTTCACTTCCACGCACAGTAGTTCAGCACCGTCGTCAGCACGGTCACGGTTTTTGTTTCCCTGTGGTTCCAGAACTCCGGGCACACCTCTAGCAATCTCCCCAAGAACTTGTAAAGTCGTACCAGGGCCTGGGCCCTTACTTCACAGGCTGATGTAACTGGCCTGGAGAAGTCTGGGTCCCTCTGAAACCAATGAGTTGGCTTAGGACCTACATCCCCAACCCCACGAGAACATGAGAATTAAATCCTGTGTTTTCATAAAATTCCAGGTGATGCAAGTGTTCAGCATTGCTGCTAACAGGTGGCTTTTAGTGTCACCTGTGCAGACAGAGATCCCTGGGTTTCACCACAGATCGAGATTCAGTGGGACTTGGGTTTCCAATTCCCTGTCCTGGCGATGTTCTCGCCACTAGACACCACACTCTCCACCATTTTCTTACCCATTTCATTGTTTTCTTAGCCAATTCCCCCCACCGCCTTTTTCTTGTTTTTCTTTTTCTGCTTTATCTTGACTTGCTTTGTGCCTCGAGGCCCTACCACACACCTGTATTCTGAGTGTCCGAGTCAACCCGTGCAGTTGGGGTAACCCCGGCTCTAGGTAAAGACGAGTCTTGGAGGCATAGTCCAGTGAGCATGCTGTCTGATGACTCAGATAAGCATTGTCAAATGGAGCGGCTGTGGAGGAGAAAGAAAAAAAAAACAAAAAACAACAACAACAAAAAAACATGAGTGACAGGCGAAGAAACTCCAGTGAGTGAGCAGTGTCCGAGCAGTGGGCAGAGTTTGTTGTGTGTGAAATGTACACCAGGCTTGCCTGCCGCTCGATTCTCTATGCTCTTCCTGAGGTGAGCACCGTCACCACGTGGCGTGTCCTGATCCCGCCCGAAGTGCTCTGTCACTCCTTGGCAGGAAGGTCCCTGAGCGGTAGAACCTTTAAAACCAGAAAAATATGATCTCTTTTTAGTGTGTAGCCCTACACATTTGGCAGATACGGTGTGTGAGCCTAACACACTCAAAGTGAAGGGCGGGTCCTCTTCTGTGTTTAGTGTGGCTCATTAGTTTTCCTCCATCATTTACTCTATTCTTTTCTTATTTAAATTACATTTGTTTGTTCGCTTTGTGTGTGTGTGTGTGTGTGTGTGTGTGTGTGTGTGTGTGAGAGAGAGAGAGAGAGAGAGAGAGAGAGAGTTGTGTGTGTGTGTGTGTGTGTGTGAGAGAGAGAGAGTTGTGTGTTTGTGTGTGTGTGAGAGAGAGAGGGAGAGAGAGTTGTGTGTGTGTGTGTGTGTGTGTGTGTGTGTGTGTGTGTGTGCGCATGAACACACTTGTGCTCATGTAATGCCAAGGTGCACAGGTGGGGACGTCAGAGAACAACTTGGGGACTATGTGGGTCCCCAGGATGGAACTCAAGCTGGCCCTGAGTTGATGGAACTGTCAGGCCTGGCATAAGCACCCCTACCCGCTGAGCCATCCCTCTGACTTTTTACAGCTGTCAGTGAAGCAACAAAGCTCAATTTCAAAGACTTGAACTTATGGGCTGGAGCAACGGCTCAGTGATTAAGAGCACTGGCTGCTCTTCCAGAGGTCCTGGGTTCAGTTCTCAGTACCTAGCTCATAACTGTCTGTAACTCCAGCTTCTGACCTGACAGACCCGACCCGCCCCCCACACACACTTTAAAAAAAAAAAAAAACGTATGGACCAGACATGATGATGTATACCTTAAGTTCTAGCCTTTAGGAGACAGAGGCAGGTAGAAAACTCTATGAATTTGAGGCCAGCCTGATCTCCATAGTGAGTTCCAAAACAGTCAGGTCTACATGGCAAGACCCTGCCTCTAATAAGTGAATAAAAGCAATTCCATAGCATGGGGGCTACTCTGCCTCCCTCCTCCACCCCAGACCCTGGAAGCTACTGCTCTGTTTCCTGTTTCTATAAATTCAGGCATATTTATAGAATATACATGTAATTACAGTCTCATTAACAGTTGCTTAACACCTAAAACTGCGATGCTTTGTTTGAGACGGGGGACTCGCTGTGTAGCCCAGGCTGGCCTTGAACTTGTGACCTCCGTGCCTCAGTCTCCCGAGTGCTGGGACTACAGACAGGCACCAGCCTTAACCTGAGGCTCCACCAGCGAAGAGCATCTTTGCCCGTTTCCCAAGGCCCGGTCTCTTTCCCATCCCTGACTCATCCTCCCTTTTGTGAGTGGTCCCCTGCCACGCCCCACTCTGTATTCTCCCTCCAGGGTGTCTCTTGGGGCTTGCCCGAGAGCCCCCCAGCTGCCCTTGGTGCACAGTCTACCTTATACTTTTGTTGAAAAAAATACATTTGATTAATTTTGTATGTACGGTATTATGTTTGCATGTATGGTTGTGTACTATGGGCATGACCTCTCCCCACAGACACCAGAAGAGAGCTTCAAATCCCTTGGGACTAGAATTACAGACAGTTGCGAGCCACCACGTGGGTGCTGGGAATTGAACCTGCGCCCTCTGGAAGAGCAGTCAGTTAAGATCAGCTCATAACTATTGAGCTATCGTCTCTCCTGCTCCTACCATTAGAAACCTTTACGAAGAGGAAAAAAATAACTATAACCATAAAATGTCCCTAAAAGGGCAGACACAGTACTATTAAGCCATAGAGCCCTTGTTCCAGCAAAGCAAACGTCTTTATTTTCTTTCCCTGCCCCACCTCTTTCTGGGGCTCTCCCTCACAGTCTTAAACCTATCCACGAGAAGGGATGGCTGCCAAGTTCCTTCCCCAGGAAGGAGTCTGCCTCCATGGTCCTGGAAGTAAGGACCTAGCCAGTCTCTGGCTCCTCATATAGCCTGAGTTGCTGTTGTATTTCACTCTGCCTGTCCCATAAAACCCTCGTGTGTTTTGGACGCTTAGTAGGCAGTAGAGTTCGGGTTAGATTAAAACTAGCTTGAGGTGTATGTGCGGAGCTTCATTCTCGGTTTCGCTTTGCCCATTTTCCATCTCATCGTCATCTCACTTTTTAGGGAGATGAAGTCAGTTTATTTCAACAAGCCAAATCTCCTAACAAATTGTCGAGAGTAAGCACGGGGACTCAAAAGATGGGGAAGAGCGAGCCATTGTATCGGATCCCTTCTAAGGACGACAGCCTTGAGAAAGGGTAGGTGCCCTCTTTTTAATGCCAAGTGCTTTGGGTCACTGGTTTGCAATATGAATTCCTAAGATTCAGTAACATGTGTCAAGGCTTGTGACTGACCTGCCTACTCTAAGTTAGAAGAATCCCAGATTAATACATCCAAAGAGGCGGTGCCTGGGTCCAGCCACAGGCAGGGCTTCTAACTGACCTCCTACTACGTGTTTGGCTCTGCTGTGATCCACTTCTTCTCAAGTCTGAGAACCCTTAAGACCCTGAAGAGCACTGGTGCCATCTAACACACACCGCACCGACTTTCTACTTTGTGTTTCCCTCTGCATATTGTTCTGGAGTTCCAGTGGGACTTTTTTTCCTTATTGTGAAGAATATCCTTGGATATCAGCTTTGGACAATTCTTTTAGTAATTTATCACTTGACATTTATTCTTTTATATAAACTGAAGTAAAATTCACATAACAATAAAGTTTAGCAACTTAAATGATGTCAAACAGATATGGATGCAGCCTGGTTTTCAGTGTATTTGGACGATTCCCATGAGAGCTGTCCAAGTCAATTCATGTATCCCACAAAGCTGTAATGCAGTGTAATACACCATAGGTTATTATTATTATTTTTTGATTTGCACGCATTTCTGATTTGCATGAACCTGGGCACGGTGGCACATGCCTATAGTCCCAGCACTCAGGAGGATGGTAGGTTTTAAGCCAACGTGGGCTACGTGGTAAGACCTCATCTTAAACACTAAAAATGAGACATGGAGAGAGAAATAAGAGTAACAGGTCAGCGTTACACAGCTCCTTGCCATCTCAGAGGCTGACATGGGGTGGAGCCTGGATCTGAACCGGGCTGCTCGATACTTTGATTATAGAAGTTTCTCTTAGTCAGCACAGAGCCGCACAGCTGATGGAAGTGCTCAGCCCTACAGGGGATGTTTATCAACCCCCACCAGACACGAAGAACACCGGGAAGAGGAGGCAGAAGGGATGGGAGGCCTGGAGGGTGGGAAGGAGCACTGTAGTGCCTTCTTCTAGGCATGACCTGAACTCTCACCAGCAGTGGTCACATGATCAGGCCAGCCACAGTCCCCCCACATAGATGAAGGCCACAGTCACCTGATCACCCGTCTCAGCCTTTGTTGAGGAGCTATCATCAGTTGCAGCTGCTGGGGGAGAGAAAAATCTTCTTTGAAGGTGTAACCCCTGGTGGGTGTGGACGCCTCACACCCACATACAGAAGGGTAGCCCTAACCGGACTTAACGAGGGAAAACCAAGACGTGAGTAATGAGGGGGAGGACTCGGGGGAAGCTTAAGGAGATACATGGAAGGTGGGGATGACTTTCACCGTGTACAAGTATGAAGTTTGCAGAGTAAATACTTAATAAAATAGACTAAGGTTTTTGTTATTGATTAGTTCACCTCTCTGAGAATTATATACATTTACACTATCGGTTTCAGATTTGCTTGAGCACAGTAAAAGTGCTTTGTGACTAATTATTAGAGAGAGAGAGAGAGAGAGAGAGAGAGAGAGAGAGAGAGAAAAGAGAAGGGAAAGAATAGCATGCCAGGTGTCACAGTGCACTCTGTGAGTTGGAGACCAGCCTAATGTACACAGAGAATTCTAGGCCAACCAAGACTACACAGTGAGACCCTGCCTCAAAGAAACAAACAAACAAAGCAAAAATGCTAAAAAGAGAACAATAGTCTAAAGTCACTGGATGTGGAGGTTTAGTTCAAGGTTTGATTTTCTTTTAAATTTTTTTTAAAGGCTATTTTGAATGAAATGTTTTGTTTTCGTTCTGGCCATTGGTTTTACTTATTTATTTTTGGTTTTTCAAGACAGGGTTTCTCTGTGTAGCTTTGGATCCTGTCCTTGCACTCACTCTGTAGACCAGGCTGGCCTCGAACTCACAGAGATCCGCCTGCCTCTGCCTCCCGAGTGCTGGGATTAAAGGTGTGTACCACCAATGCCACCCGGCTGTTCTAGCCATTGTTAGTGTGCAAAAATAACTTTTTAAAAATTTTTTTAGATTTATTTATTTATTTTACGTATATGAGTGCTCTGTCTATAGCATGATCCCGCTACAGATGGTTGTGAGGCACCAAGTGGTTGCTGGGAATTGAACTCAGGACCTCTGGAAGAGCAGCCGGTGCTCTTAACCTCTGAGCCATCTCTCCAGCCCAAAGATAACTGTTTTTTGTGAGTTTAGTTTATATCCTGTAGAGACTGTGTGTTATCTGAGAGGAAAAACATTTTTAACATTCCTTGTCGCCCCCCCCCCACAACCCCCAAGTGGAGACACCTTTTGTTTCTTTCCTCACTCTTGCTGTCCACAGTTTCCCCGTCAAGTCTGATATTGTCTATGTGTTTCTCATCCAGGCTTTAGCACTCAGAGGAAGTTCTCCGATGCCACAGATTGACAGCACTCATGCTTGCTAACTGACCCATTTATTCTCACACCTGTAACCTAGGTTAAAGTTGGGCAACACAGTTGTTCGCTTGACATCTTTCACTGACATCTCTGAATGTCTGAAACCCCAGCTGGAAAGAAGATATACTTACACAGAGGAGCCTAATGTAAGTGTTTTAAGGGCTGAATAACCATGTTCCTTATTTAATCAACCAATGCCCCTGATTTTAGAGTTTGGAAACACTTATTATACTTTTTTTCTCTATTAAACAACACCTTTTGTGGTTTTTAGTTGCAAAGGAATTTACCCACATCTCCCTCCCTTCTCTGCCTCTCTCTCTCCTCTCTCTCTCTCTCTCTTTCTCTCTCTTCTTTTGCTTTTTCATTACAATATTTTTCTGTGTAGCCCTGACTGTCTATAGACCAGGCTGGCTGCCTCTGCCTTGTAAGTGCTGGTGATCTCTCTTTTCAAAAATAGTTGTTATGACCTAGATTGATTCTATGATTCTACCTCAGACACAAAATAAGACCCTTTAGTATTCCTGTTCTGTTATTACAATAACTCTGGATGTCATGTCTTAGAAATCTCTCTCTCTCTCTCTTTTTTATGAAGGCAGAGCGTCTTAGTTAGGGTTTCTATTGCTGTGAAGAGACACTATGACCACAGCAACTCTTATCAAGGAAAACACTTAACTGGGGATGGCTTACAGTTTCAGAGGTTGAGTCCCTTATCATCATGGTGGGACATGGCGGCGTGCAGGCAGACACGGTGCTGGAGAAGGAGCTGCATCCTGATACACAGGCGACAGGAAGTAAACTGAGACACTGGGTGTGGCTTGAGCATATATGACACTTCAGAGCCCGCCCCCACAGTGACACACTTCTTCCAACAAAGTCACACCTCCCAATAGTGCCATTCCCTGAGCCTATGTGGGCCGTTACATTCAAACTACCACACTGGGGGTTCCAGAGTGTAGCTACTTTGACAGCAAGCATCTACCACAGGGGAATTAGATGAAGACTCAGATGAAGCTCTCATGTGCCCTGAGAATTCTACCGACATTATCTAAACACTCAGTTATGTTTTGCATACTTCTTTTATTTTAAGTAAATAGTTCTCTCTCTCTCTCTCTCTCTCTCTCTCTCTCTCTCTCTCTTTTTACCAGCTAAAATAAGGATATTTTAGTTTCAAATGCTTTTAGTTAGCCATTAAAAACAAACAAACAAACAGTATGTTCTCAGCTCAGAATTTTTTCTATCAGGCAGAGGCAGTGTGATGAAGAGAGTAAAAAAAGCCTTGCTTAAACCTGTCCCCTATGTGTTTGCCTGGGGAGCACAAAGAAGTCTGAGTCCCATAAAACAGCGCCGAGTTTGCATGAACGACCCATTCCTGGGCATATTCTGGAGTCACTTGTGTGACTGAGAAATAGCCAGCTCTCCGTGTGTCAATGCAAAGAACGTTGTTGGCAGAGAAGCCATAAACAGCCGGGTTTTATGAGAACTTCATTGCCATTTCCACTCTGAAGGCCATGACCTGTGTGGGTGAGACTGTCCAAAGAGCCCCCTCCCCCAGCACTGAGAGGCCTTGAGATGGTTCTTTTTATAACCCACTTGGAGTTAGAACAGCAGCACCTCAAGGCTAAAATAACAGTAAATATGTAGGAAACAGGCCACCAATGGAGACTTGGAAGGCTCCCCAACGGAGCCAATGCGCCCGCCCGAAACATGAAAGTAATTGAGGTCAGGGAGGCTACTCTTGACATCGTGCTTGGAATCGGGCGCTGGTTTATAACAGTCAGGATTCTCCCGCCATGACTGAGTTCCACAAATGAATCTTACACGACAGTCAGATGCAAGCATTAATTACATATATGCTACACACATAAAAATGACAGCCCAGCTGCATCTCTGAAGCCCACTTGTACAGTGCTGTAAAGAATCACACTGTGTTCATGGGGATAATGAACTTTTGTCTCATGTTTTGCTATCCAGGTTAAAGCTACGTTTGGTAGTAGAGCCTTGGGAGGCTTTAACATGGAAAACTTGTTACAGTCTTTGTATGTCGAAAATAGAGCTGGATTCTTCTTCACTAAGTTCTGCGAGAATTCAGGGAACAAGGTAGAGAATAATTATTTTAAGTCTGGATTTATTGTTTTACTTGATTTAAAGATAAGTGGCATTGAAATAACTTGGTGTTCATAATCTCAATTTACTATGCCATACTTAGTTTATTTCTATTAATGCTTGATTCTTAATAATTTTAACAACCATAAATTATAATGCATAGCGATAAAATGATTTTCAGTAATGTTTTTTAAATTACAACTGATATTTGTATGACCCAAATGAAGAGTGATTAATTGCCTTAGTAGTTAATATTTAGTTGTGATATGATACCCATTTGCCCATATGTTGATATGCCAGACTGTGCTGTCTGTCATGCCACAAATCCATGTTCTTTACCTGTCAACCAGAATGCTTGCACTTTTTGTATTCATCGCTATTTTTAAACATTTACTATTTTAATGACCAACTCTATGGGAGGGTTGCGTGCAAATACAGTGTTCAACTGACAACAGGCATAAATACCTTGCCCATTGCCAGTTTGCGGTAAAAGACTGAGACCAGCTTAAGCTGGATGTGATTTGTGGTAGCAGTAAGGACGTAGCGTGTATAGACATGTAGGGAATTAGAGCTCCAAGGGCCTCACTGACTGGCTGTGATGATTTCTGTACTTCTCCATCCGCAGCTGTGGAAGAACAGTGTGTACTTTTGGTTTGACCTACAGGCTTATCATCAGCTGTTCTACCAAGATACACTTCACCCTTTCAAAGTTTGCAAGCAAGCCCAAGTAAGTAGCAAATAGCACTGCTCTATGCAAAGCCGTGAGTACGCAGGAAAATAAAAATTGTGTCCGGGCCTCAGACTAGAGAGAGCTGGGTTGCTCAGGGCTCAGATCATTTCCCCAGGAATACTCCATGGTTTATAACCTGATCCATGCGTCTTCCGTTTTTATCTGTTTGATCTGGTCTGCTTTATCGTCTTTACCTGCCAACTACTTGTTCTTCCCATAAAAGAATGTCTGCTCTGCTCTCCTTCCCCCGCCAGCTAGCATACTTTTTGGGTTTGCCTGTCGGGGACTGTGAGGGGATGTGTAAGTGAGTCACTGTGGTGACCAGGAGCCACAGTCGTGGCTAGAGTTCCCTGAGGCCCCTGCGGATGTCAGCTGTTGGATGTGTGGGGGGCCGTGGCTGGCACGGGGCTGTGTGTGCATGTGCAGGCCCCATGTAGGCGTCTGGGCTTCCATCTACATGCCATGTGAGATAGACCCTCAGAGGGTGGAGGAGAGAGCATTTCAAGACCACCCTGAAGCAGGGTAGGGAAGGAGTAAAAAAAAAAAAAAAAAAAAAAACTGGAAGAGAACGAACAGAAGATCTCTGCAAATGGGGACAGAGAGAGCAGCTTCTTGCAGGGGGCAGTGGCAGGAGGTAGAGATGGGAACAGAATTATGACTCGAGCTGGCTTTTTTGGGTTTTATTCTTAGGCTCTTCAGATCTTTTATGGAGTAAGGTCTCCCAGGATTAGACAACCGCAAACCACTTCTCTATCTGTTGATCACTTGGTGATTCTTATAACCCTAAATAACCCATCCCAGAGGATCCTACCGCCAAATGCTGCTCAGGGAGTTAGTTTCACCCTGTTATTTATTATCCCAGAGTCTTGCTCAGGACACCAGAGTGCACTGCTGGATGTCTGGCTGCTCCCACCCCACCCCCTCAAGTCCAGAGTGAGCAGCTCTGCTTTGTAGCCCCAGTGACAGCTTTGTTCTTCTTGCCGTGAGAATAAGGACCGCGGCGGCCCCAACATAGCCCAGATGTCTCCACGAAATCATGAAATGAATCTCTACTTTACCAGGACCCTTTTCTGAGACCACACAGCTCTGCTTGTTAACTCTCTACCTGTAATTCACTGTTGACCCTCCTCCCCTAACCCATTGCCCCCTCCCCCCCCGTCTGCTGTGGGACCATCTGTTATTTTTATTATGTTTCCACTACTCAAAGAATCCTCCTCCCATAAAGACTACAGCTGCCCAGTGATGTGGGGTTGCTTGTGTGTTGATATTCAGCCAGACGTCGTATATGCATGAAGGAGGAGGTTCTGTTCTGGCTTCATAGGCTTCCTGGTTCTTGGCAATGCTGCCATCAGCTACCTCTACCTGGTTCGGAAACTGGACTGTTTGGGTTGTTTTAAAAACAGAACGCTCTATTTGGGGATTGCCAGGACCGAGAAGTTTCCCCCAAGGTAGTCAAGGCAGGAATTGGAAGAGCAGGACAGTGTAGAACACCCCGGGTACCTTTGGTTTTGAATAGGTGGAAACACAAGGAGAGAATTCTTTTTTTTTTTTTTTTAATTTTTTTCATTTTTTTCCCTTTATTTTTTTCCTTTTTTTTTTTCCCGGGGGGGGGGAGGAATGCTGCTATCTCAACCAGTTTGGGTTTTATTATGCAAAGCTTTTGTTCTTCCAGATACACGAATTGTCTGTGACATTATTGTATTATGCATTTGTTTTACAGTATGAACTATGACCCAGTTAATGACAATAGGAATATTGTATGGCTTTCTTCAAAGATTCATTTATAATATGGGTCTTTGGAATGACAATGCCACCAAGGGAATATATTCATCTGCCAATACATGATGAATGTGTCATGAACTTGATTTTATATCCTTTTCCTGTGTCTGCCAAGTCACACACTAAGAGACTAAGAGTTGCTGCCAAAGGACCTGTGTGATCTTTTTCTGTATGCATAGCTTTATTATTCCAATTAGCAGTATAGGAACAGTAGTAGATAGATAGGGGAGAACCAATAATAAGGATTTAGCATGACTCATGAGCTCAAAAGTTCGAACTAATGTTTTGGGCATGCCGCTAGGATCTCCCTACTCAACTTCAAGAGAACATAGTCAACAATTAGAAAGGAACGGTGGTCATGGCATTGTTCAGGTACAACCCCTGCCTCTAGAGGGCCACACAGCACTGACTGGATTTGTTGACTAGAGCCTGCACTTTTCTTCACTTTGCATGCTTGCTTTAGTGAGAGGATTGACAACAGAGCACTGCCTCCTCCCTCGACTTGTCTTAAGTCTTTCTAAGGACATGTATGTTGCAATAAAAGCTGCATTTAGGATCTACTACCCTAGCTACTATCTAGCATAAATACTGATTTTTAAAAATATAACAAATACATATACGATAGATTCATATTAGATATGCTTATAAACATATATGCACGTTTACCATTCTAGAGGTGGGTGGGAGCTGGGAGAGTGGAGCAGATAAATGAGGCAGACTCAAGTCTCATGCAATGGTCAGCTTTATTCAGAGTATCAGACAGTTTGCACTCTGAGGGTTAAGAGGAGTCGCGTGAGTAAAGAGACTGATCCACAAGGACAAGCTACACGCAGCAAAAAACATGCTTTTTCCACAGAGGCATATAAACAAGTAACAATAGCCAGTTGTAATGAATAATATGAATTAAAAAAATCACTCCTATCTGTTACAGCAGGGAGGGACAAGAAAGCAAATCCAAGACCAATTCCACGTGTTTGAAGAAACTGAGGTCACAAGTCCCTTGTCTTGGTTTCTCAGAGTTTTCTCCACAAGCTCTCAGAAGTCACCTCACACAGCTTCATTCGTGGACAAAGTTCCGACACATACACACCAACACACATTAGATTCAGGAAAATAAGAAACGGGAGCTGGGAATTTGGCTCACTGGCGAGTGCTTGCCCAGCATGTGTGAGACCTGGGTTCAGTCTCCAGCACTATAATCAATATGTAAAACTTAAGTTTGTAGAATCAGAAAAGAAGGCAGTTAAAGTAAAATCACAGATTTCATTTGCCTGCAAGTGTCCATTTTATCCTGACGACTTAGCTCCCTATGGGCTTAAAGACTTGAGGGTTTTGTCTGCCGTCGGCACATACTGATTCTATAATAACAGACTTAACTGTGACATTTCCGTAAGTGTGTATCATGTATTTTGACCCTATCCACCCCCACTGCCCTGTCTTGTCCCCTCCGTCTCCAGTGGTTCCCTCCTCCTTCCCCACCACAGACTGTTTCCTGTCAGCCCCGGGAAGGTGTCACAGTGTTCAGTTGCGGTGCTAAAGGATCTGCTGCTGCTGTTGTTGTAGGGTGGAGGACGCCTTTTCCTACTTACTACCTTACAGCCTTTCCCCCGACTTTAGCGCTCGGGGTTTGACCGTAGTGTGTTCACCGCCATGCTCTGTCTTAGGCTTCAGTTGCTTCTGACATCTCAGGAATCTTGTCTCTGCAAGTTCTGCACTGTCCTCACTGACAGGTCTTGCAGTGTTTACACCTGGGCGTTTTCTGCTGTTGTGGATCCCCCACCCGAACCCTGCTCATAAAACATGTTGTTTTCGTTTTTTGCTATGCAACCCACCCATTGAGTTAGATTACGTTTTTCATTCATAAGGCTTTTTTGTTGTTGTTGTTGTTTATTTGGGTGTTATTGCTTGTTTGTTTGTTTTTGAGACCATATAGTCTTAGCTGGCCTATAACTTACTATGTAGAACTCTTAAGAGATCTGCCCCCCTCCGCCTGGGATTAAAAGCTGGTGCCGCCATGCCCAGCTATGATTTTTATTCTTAAACGTTATATTTGTGTGTTATAATTCTTCCCGGTATTTCCTTTTGTTCCATGCACTTTTAAATTTCTTTGTCTCGTCTTTAATCATTAGTCTCTAGCTGTATTAGTTATTCCTGAATGATGGCTTTACCACAAACTCCGTGGCTCAGAAAAATCACACATTTGTTCTATCAGTTTTTGTGGGCCAGGTGCCGTTAATCCCAGCTCTGAGAAGCAGAGGTAGGTGGATCTCCGTGAGTTCAAGGCCAAAATGGTCTACAGAGTGAGTTCTAGCAGAACTGAACTACATAATGGGACCTTATCTCAAAAGTGAGAAGGGGGCGGTGGGAGGGGAGGGAAAGCGTGGGTATCAAGAGCCACTGTGTTTCTAGGGGCCACCCTAGAGGCTGGCTGCCACACTGCTCAACGATTCTATGACCTGCAGTTCTTGGAAGAACTAATTTTTAGTTCTGCTGACACAGTGGATTCTTCCCTTGTATGTTTAGTAATTTTGAAGCATGAGCTCTTTAGTGTGTGTGTGTGTGTGTGTGTGTGTGTGTGTGTGTGTGTGTCTTCTGCTGGGCACATTTCAAATGCTAATTTCTTATCTTGGAGAGATGTGAACGCAGACAATGTGTCAATTGGAAAACCAGGCTCAGGCCAGGGTAAACAGTAACAAGTTCTCAGGGAAGGCGATTGCTTTTCTCTTTCAGAAAGCAAGGTGGAGCCGGGCGCTTCTGTTTTGTTTCCTAGGCTCAGTAGATACAAAGAATCTTGTACGAGGGGCTTGCTGTGGCTACTAAAAAAGAAAACGTGTGACTTGTCCTTCTGAGACTCTTTTTGGCATGCTGGCAGCTCAGATGACTTGAAAAGCCTCCAGAAAATGTAACAAACACGCATGGCAGAAATAGCAAGTGAGAAAGTCTCCCAGGCAGAGGGAAGGGGTACATTGAAAACCTGGCAATTAGC